CAATATAACAGAGTGAAAAATTTAAGGGGGTCTGAATACTTTCCGTACCCACTGTATATATAAGGCCACCCTTTAGATGTTTATATTTCAACAACAAATTAGATTATGTTTAATAACATGATTCTATTATTAAAAAGTTTTCAAAACAGTCTTATGTGCAATTTAAATGTTTGTACAACTTGTTGATTATGAAATACATTTGATTCATTAATTTATTATTAAATGCAATTTATTTTTGGTTTCAGTTTTTAGCGACATGAAAATATAAATTTTAGTATTGACTTTTGATATTGCAATGATATTAATACATGTTATTATACTTATATATATATATTTTTTTTTTTTATTATTTTTTTTATTTTTTTATAAGTTTTAAAAAGTATGTTGCAGTTTTCGGCCAAGTGCATCCTGAATTTTCAGTTTTGATTTTGGCCCAGAATTTTTATTTCTGTGCATCACTATCATTATTTTATAATCACTTAGACTAATACAATCTTCCTCCATTTAAGCATTAAAAATGATTGTTTGTGTAGCAAACATGCACTTACCGCTTATATATTTTCTCTGACTTGTTTTGGAGATGTGATTTATGGAGAAAGAGTCGTCCTGAGTTGTTCTTTTGCATCATTTTCAGCTGCTCACCACACAAGATGGCCACAGCACACCCGAGGTCTGTGTTTCAGATCAGCTTTCATTAGTGAGCATCACAGATGAAGTCAGAAGTGACAGCAGTGTGAATACTGTGACTGTACTCTGTCTCAGGTGTTGATCGTGACGTCAAACGGAGCCTCGCTGGACTTCACGTCAGTCGCTCAGGAGAACGGCCCGAGGTCTGTGGAGCTCTACTCTACCCCTCATTACAGAGCCGAGTCTGATGCGCGTAAGTGAACTGAACAGATGTGCTGCAGTCCAAAACAGTTCAGCTCAATGGTTTCAAGAAAGAAAGAAAAGTCTTATTTGCTGACAGACTTTTAAAAGCTAAATCATTTGCCTTTATGATATTCCAAATACAAGTCGGTTCAGCAACTTGCAAAAACTCATTTTCACAATAAGCAGTGTTGATCCAAGAAAGAAAAAAAGTAATAATAAAATAAATAAATCATTAAATTTGCATCAGATGCAAAATGGCATATAATTGCAAAGACTTTTCTGTGTGTGTGTGTGTGTATATATATATATACAGTATATATATATATTATTGTGATTATGATTATTATTTGTATTATTCATTTTCTACATGAATATAGAATCATTCTAAGTTTATATTATATAATCTATATATTATAATCATATTAATATATTGTATCTCTATATAACTAAACTTGTAACTTGTTTTGTGATTGTTTTAAACAGTATCTTGCACAGTTTTGCTTGTGAAGTCTATCTGGTTTAGGGACATTTAGATATATTTACTGGAAAACAAGACAAAATTAGTATGTATGTACAGTGGTGTGAAAAAGTGTTGGCCCCCTTCCTGACTGAAAATACAGCTGCACATCACAGGAATAAATTACAGTTTAATGTATATTAAAATAGAAAAACGTTATTTTACATCATAATAATATTTCACAATATTACATTTTTTCCTGTATTTTTGATCAAATAAATGCAGCCTTGATGAGCAGAAGAGACTCCTGTAAAAAACATTAAAAATCATTCTGATCCCAAACTTTTAACCGGTAGTGTATATTCATATTCATGTTTTCATATATTTACTGGAAAACAAGATTAAACTACCGATTAAGATTTAGGTGCAAATTACTTGTTTATTACTTGTTATTATTAGTTTTTCTACCAAACACAGTGCACAGTCTCACAGTATTCCCATTCACACCCCCGTTCCCTAGATATTCCCCATACATTTCAGGATGTTTGTTTTTTCAGTTCTTGGAAATTCAGTCTGAATGTTCCAGATAGACACATGAATGGAACCTCCATTCATGCTCGAGGGCTGAGATATTAGATGATTCACAGAATCCCACCCTAAAATACACGCTTCTTTTTCAGAGAAAATCGACTGCGGCGTTTACAAGATTGACTCGACGTATGTTGAGCTTCCCGAGGTTCCCCGGCCGTTCGGTGTCATTCGTGTGAACGCGGCGGTCAAGGCCTTCAGGTTCATCATGAAGCAGAGCTACATCTGTGCTCTCATCGCAATGATGGTGAGTCCTGCTTCACTGTCCTTGCTTTCAGCAGCCGGTTCAGTGCAAAGGACATTCATTTAAAGACATTCAATTCTTGACATTGAAGTCTTGTGTGAACATTGGTTATCTTTTCTTTTCCTGACGGTCCGTCCAGGCTTGGAGCATCACGTACGTGAGCTGGCTGACCTTCGTCTTCCTCATCTGGTCCTGTATTCTGTGGATGGTGAGGGACCGGAGGAAATACTCCATGATCACCTCTCCGTTCATGGTGTTTTATGGGAACTTGCTCATCATCCTGCAGTACATCTGGAGCTTCGAGTCGCTGCAGCCCGTTCCTGGGCTCTTCCTGAAGAAAGAAGTGCCTTTCCGGGAACTGGGATCTAAAGTGAGGCCGTGTGTTTATATGTGTCTACTAGAGCTGGGCGATAAACGATATCATATTGTGATAAAATGATAAGCTTGGGACATTTTTAGTCGATATGGAGTAATCACACAGCAGAAATAAAGAAATGCCGCCGAATACCCACTGAAACTGAAAGTAAAACTGAAAGACCTTCACGACAACCCGTCAAAATAAAAGTCTGGTTTAACTTGAAGAAATTATGACTGACATATATTACTATTGTATACTAAAATATAATTATCAAAGTAGTAGCAGTAGTAATAATAATAATATTTTAAGGAATATCATACAACCAAGATAATATATTAATAAATAAATAAAAATGCAATGTTTTGTTGTAAATTCATTTTAAAATTTTTATTAAATTACTTTTTATATTTAATATAAAATATATTTATATATATATACATATATATATATATATATATATATATATATATATATACATATACAGTGGGTACGGAAAGTATTTAAATAAATAAAAATGCAATGTTTTGTTGTAAATTCATTTTAAAATTTTTATTAAATTACTTTTTATATTTAATATAAAATATATTTATATATATATACATATATATATATATATATATATATATATATAATATTTATTTAATTTTTTAAGTTTTATTAATTCATTAATTCACAATTCATTTTTGATGATAAATTTGTATTAGATCATGAAACACAGAATCCAGAAAAAAAAAAAAAAGGGAATAAATAAATAAATATCCTTCCCCATTAAAGCTAAAAAAAAAAAAAAGTTCTAATATTTTTGGCCACATCACCCAGCCCTGTTGTCTATGTATTAATGTGTTTAAATAACTTATAAAAAAGATGTTGATTGGATGAGCCACACTGTGTTCTGATTGGCTGTGATTGTGATTGATTAGGACACAGTGCAATACCTGTTGGAAGAGTAGTTTATTGTGATGATTGGTAGTAGTACAGTTGATTATTTATTGAAGATTAGTGTATTTTACGATATGTATTTGCTGCTAAAATCACTGAAGAACTGCTCCACAGGGATTTGACCCTGATTAAAGCAGTTTTAGGCACTGATCACACACACATCCTCTTGTGAATGAATTGTTTGGCTTGAATAATGTACAGTGTGTTTGTGTGTGTTTGTGCAGACCTTGTGTCTCCTCAGTTTCTGGCTGCTGTTGAGGCAGTTTCTGACTGAGAGGAGAGAGAGACAGACGGATGAAACACAGCTGTCTGACGTCAAAGTGGAGGGACACACAACCGGTCAGTCCACCTGTACAGAAACAGCTCCTTTACCGATGTAACTAAGACCATAAAAAACATCAAATCAGAGAATTTAAACTTGTTTTATTTCAGCTAGGCAACATTTGTATTTTCATTTATTTTAACTTGATTCTAAAATAACTAAAACTGAAATAAAAATTAATAAAAAACTTTATAGATATATAAAAATTACAACAAAATTACTAAAACTTTTAACTAAAACTAAAAAGAAAATGGAAAAATAAAAACCAATTCAAGCTATTAATTAAAACTAGTATCTGGTTCGGTTTCCATTCAATTTTTCCCTTTTGCAAAGTTAAAATGCATGCAAAAGGTTGCGAAATTTGCTGTTTCCATCCAGTTGACATTTCACAGATAAAATAGTATGCATTGTCACATAAGTTTTGGTGTATTGCAAAAGCTGTTTCCATAAAAATAGTGTGTATATTGCAAATATTTTATCTTTCGCATCACAGATATCCTCAAACAGAGAGGCCAGCTTACTGCTGACACATTTCACAAACAATTTAATATTGCGAAATATAATTTATTATATCTAAAAATTTGATATAATTTTTTTCAAATATTCCATTTTCAGATTTTCAAGAGGTTACCAGTTAGAAATGAGAGCAGCACATTGAAAATTGCAATAACAGCTTTGAAAATATCAATAACATCAAATCAATCAGTGCTGAATTGTTTTCAGAAACAGATGCAGTTCGAAACATTTCATTTGTGTATTTACTGTAACTCTTGAATCAAAGTACAAAAACGCTTGAATCTTTTAGAGCATCTTGAATGTTTTTTTTAGAACTAGTAAAGTTAAACAACCCCCAAAAAAACAAAAAACAAATGTATAATCAGCATTTCTATCAGCTATATTGGTAAACATTTTGATGCGCTAAACCTTTTCACCTGGGAACTTGGTGCAGACTTAAGGTTGAGTTAACTAAAACTATGGTGATATTATCCACAGAATGTGTTTTGACAGCCCTAATACTGGATCTACATCTGTGGAGGAATGTTCTTCTTCGTGAGCTTTGAGGGACGCATCGTCATGTACAAGATCATTTACATGATGATGTTTCTCTTTTGCGTGGCACTTTATCAGGTTTGTGTTGTGCTCTGTAGCTCTGATAACTCTGACAACAGCCTCTTGATATCACTTCAATTTTAACAAATAACATACGTTTATGTGTTGTTGATAGTAAGGAAATTATTAGACAATAATTCATGTGCAGTTTGTTTGTCTCTGTGCTTTGTGTACTGTCAGTTGGTTTGTTTATCATCTGTTTGTTTGTTTTTGGTTTGTATCTCATCTTTTTTGTGTTTTTTTGTAATTTGTTTATTATCCGTTTGTTGTTTTATTTTCTTTGTTTTGTGGTTTATCAGTCATTTGTTTTTGTTTGTTTGTTATCCATTTGTTTGTTTTATTTTTGTATATTTTCATTTATTTATTTATTTATTTATTTTGTTTGTTTATGCCACAGGATAACAAAGGAAATTCAGACTTTTTTCTTGCAGTTCTAAAGCAAAAAAATATATAATTGCAATATATAAATGCAGAATTGAGAGATATAAACTCACAGTTCTGAGAAGAAAAGTCATATTTGTGAGATATAAACATGTAAAAAACTGCATTGCAAAAAAGGCAGAATTGTGAGAAAGTTTATATTAGACTTTATATCAGACAAAATAATTGTGAGAAAACAATTGAGAGATATAAACTCAGAACTGCGAGGGAATAAAAGCTTGAATTGTGACATATATAACAAGATATAAACTTGCAATTGCAAGAAAAAGCAAAAAACCTTTTAATTTTTTATTCTGAGGCGAAAAAATAATGCAAGATGTGAATTCAGAAATCTGAGAAAAAAGTCAGAATTGTGAGATACCGTAAAAACGTTTATGAAGACATTCAGTCTCAGAATAACGAGAAAGTAAGTCGGAATCGTGAGATAAAAAGTTGCATTTGCCTTATTCTGCGATGGAATGGGCTTCCGTAGTTCGCCCCGTTCATCTACTGTTGTGTTTGTCAGATGTCTGTCTACAGTCCGCTGATGTGTTGTGCGACTCTGTTCCAGCTGCACTATGAGAGGTGGCGCTGGATGCTGAAGTATTTCTGGATGTCCGTGGTGGTTTACACCATGCTGGTGCTCATCCTGGTCTACACGTTCCAGTTTGAGTCCTCTATAAGCGTGTGGTCCAACATGACTGGCATGAGCAGAGAGAAGTATGCATTTGAGACGACTCTACTTATGTACAGTATGACAGGTGTTGTGGTGTGATAGGTGAGCTCCTCTTCTGTGCAGGCTGGAAGATCTGGGTCTGGAGAAGTTCTCGGTTCCTGCTCTGTTCACGCGGATCTTCATTCCCACCTCGTTCCTGCTGGTGTGCATCCTGCATCTGCACTATTTCCACGAGCGCTTCCTTGAGCTCACCGACATCAAATCTGTGGCCGACAAACAGAAGAGCACTATCTCCAGGTACAGCGGCGGTTGTTTAAAGCACACGATCAAAGTATTCACCAGCTTCAGGATGCACCGCACGGTCTCTAAGAGCTTGTGAGCTGACAGCCTTTTCCAAAAACAGAGTTCTAGACTCTGACTCCAGGAAATGAACAGTGTTGTTTATAAGGCATTCCTGCGAAGCTGGAAGCTTTATGTTAGGGCTCATTTTTTTAATGAAAAAAAAATCTTCTCCCAAGTTTGAGACTCCATCAGGTTTTCTGACAGGATTTCCTTGGAGAAAATAAAATAATCCTGGCACTGGCATGCTTGACGTTTCTGATCATGTGCGTGTCATCTGATGACCAAAAGGCTCAATTTTGATCCCATTCTTCAATAGTAATAATAATAATAATGGTTGTTAGTTATTAATAGTTGTTATTAATATTTTGTTGTTATTATTAATGGGAATATAATCATAACTAGGTGCATAACACAAGTGCATCTTTTTCAGGTTGCATAGTTTCTTTTTGTTTGCATTATTAAATGAGCTACTTTATTTTAAACATATCTTTAACAATACAGGTGCATCTTTTTCAGGTTGTGGAGCTAAAGTAAAATAATAAAAGTTATTTTAATACTATTTCTCTGCTATTATAATATTTATTAATATTTTGGATTAGTTTTTTTTTTTTTAGTTTTAGTAATTTTATTATATGCTTTTTTGTCATTTTTTAAATATTTTTGACATTTTTCTTTAGCTTTTTTTTTTAGAAATGCAAGTACTTTAACTTGAAATTATTTTATTTCAGTTCGTTCCCAAAGCATCATTTCTGAAATATTTTTTTTAAGTTTTATTATTATTATTATAGATGTTGTTGTTGTTGTTAATGCTGATAAAATCAAAACATAAGTAATTTAAATATTATAATAATTGTAACAAAATGATGATAATATAATGTATTAATTATCATAGATGAGTTTGAAGAGATCTGTTTTTGTTTTTGTTGTTTTTTTTTTTAATTAGTGGGAAACCAAATGCAAATGAAGTATGTGATTCAGTGCTGTAAAACCAGAAAACATGAGAAAGTCAGATGGACGTTAAAATATAGATCTTTAACTCAACACTGGCTAATGTTTAATACTTTAGATTTTTCCATTCAGTTTTTAATTGGTAGAATGAGTGAGCTGTCTCATCATGAGTGAGAGTTTCTTTCGTTGTCAGGCTCGTTCATCTGGATGGCAGTCTGGTGGATATTTCCATGATCAAACCTTCGCTGGACTCCATAAACGAGGAGGAGACTGAGGAGAGAGTAGATCTGGAGGAAGAGGAGGATGATGTTAAACAGAGGGAGGAAGAGGAGGTCTCTGAGCCACACTTCAGCTGCTCGATGACAGCCGATCCTGAGCCGGACCGGGGTTCAGGTAGATCTGAAACCACCGTAACTTTCTTAAATTACACTTTTATGTTGCTCTAATTGAAAATCATGGTTTCCGGTTATAAACTGGTTTTGTTGAGTTTCTCTAAAAGCAAATAATGCTTCGATAGAAAGAATTAAAAGAAACAATTTTGATATAAAATAGTTATTTCGAAAAGAACTTATTTTATTCATTCATTTCTGCTGTTTTATTTATTTATTTTATTTACACAACAGAAAATATGATGTATATTTAAAAAAAAAAAGAAAAAAAAGGCATCACAATAAATAATTTCAAGGTTGTCTGTTTGTAGCAAGCAAACTGAATGAAACGGTGACTAACGAAATGTTTTTAGTTTTATATTAAATGAAAATTATAGCTAATTGTGCTTTTGTTTTTGGTGAAATTAATTTGTACTACATAACATTTTGGCTTATGTAAACATTGCCTGTATAATAAATAATATCTCTACTTTGTATGAATGTATGTCTTTAGGAAAATAAAAATGGTTGATTAATATTAAATCAAAATGTATCAAAATCAGAAAGTTTGAAAAAATATATAAATTTGACAAAAAAAAGAGAATAACTTTGGTTGTAACAAATCAGACATTATTATTATTATTAAATGTACATGTTGTTTATGGTGAAATTACTTTGTAAAAAGTAAAAAAGTATGATATTGACCTTCATTTAGCAACATTTTGTCTAAAGAAAATAGTTATTAATTTATATAATTATTTATAATAATATTTTTGTTTGTTTGATTGTTTGTTTCTTTAGGAAAAATATATATTGTTTTCAAAATTTAAGGTTTGAACAAAGCATACATATAATTTGAGAAAAAAATAATAAATTAGTCTGTAGTAAATAAAGGTGTTTTCTCTCTCTCTCTCCATCAAACAGAACTCCAGTGTGTCATATTTCATCTCTGCTCAGATGTAAACTAAGACAGAAGGTTGGAAATCAAAGTACATTTAAAATAAGAAAATAAACACCATTTTGTTCCCATTCATATTCATTCAAGAGTAATGCAATAAACCCGGATCATATCCTTGCAGATGCTATCGTCTGAATTACGGTGCATCATTCAAGCATAATAAATTCAATTACAAGACCAAATCAATATTTTTTATATCCTGCTTGAATGAGACGCTCTATACAAATCTGAATTCATATTGGAGCGATACAACTAGAAGAGTCTTTTATTGGCCCGCTGGAGACCAGAATAAAAGCGTCTAGACTTGTTTCATGTGTAAATGCCTCTAAACTGTTAAAGGTGACATATCATGAAAATCTGACTTTTCCAGGAGCAGGTCTGAGCTGTAATGGCGCAGCTCTATTCTGGAAAAGGGGGCGGGGAGCAGCAGCTCATTTGCATTTAAAGACACAGGCCCGAAAAACAGCGTGTTTCTGCTTCCACTCAAAATAGGCATTTTCAAAATGATATAATAAATGATCTGTGGAGTATTTTGAGCTGAAACTTCACAGACACATTCTGAGGACATCAGAGACTTATATTACATATTGTAAAAAGGGGCATAATATGTCACCTTTAAAGTCTTCAGTGCATTTGATTTCCAAGCGATTCTCTGAGATAGAGATTTGAGGGCTTATTAACTATTTGTAACAGTACAGGTTGTGTAGCTTCTTGTTAGTGTTATTAAGTGAGTTTTACACCGTATTTATTGTGCACCACAGAACAGCTGCGAGTCAAACTTTGCTTTCCTAAACTGTTGCTTTATGTATTTCATAAACATGTCGCTGTGACTCATCGATGGGTGGCTGTGTTTTATGACTGTTTTGAGATTTGAGATATTTTACGCATTATCGGCTGTGTGAGCGTCGTAATGTTGACAAACGGCTCTGTAAGTGTTGCTCTGCACAGAATCAGCTGATGTGTTTTCTGCACAGTGTTATTTTAGCATTATTTCAGTACTAGTTTAATATTTATTAAGATTTTGAGTTAGCTTTCATTTTTGTTTTTTTCAGTTTAGATTTTATTTTAAGTGTGAGTTTTAGTCATTTTAGTCATTTTTGTAAAGTTTTTATATTCTATTTAGCTTTATTATGTTTTTATTTAACTTTAATTCTTTTGGTAACACTTTACAATTGGGTTGATTAGTTAACATGAACTAAGCATGAACAATACTTCTACAGCATTCATTAATCTTAGTTAATGTTAATTTCAACATTTACTAATGCATTATTAAAATCAAAAGTTGTGCTTGTTAACATTAGTTAATGCACTGTGAATTAACATGAACTAACAATGAACGACTGTATTTTCATTAACTCACATTAACAAGGATTAACAAATACTGTAATAAATGTATTGTTCATGTTAGTTAATACATTAACATTAACTAATGGCACCTTATTGTAAAGTGTTAGCATTATTTTAGCATTCAACTTAAACTGACTTTATTTCAGTTACTTGCCAAGGCAACATTTCTAATTTCGTTCAAGTTTTAACTTATTTTTAACAATATAAGTGCATCTTTTTCAGGTTGTGGAGCTTATTTTTGTTCACATTATTAAGTTGTTTTAGTATTATTTCTGTACTATTATTATTTATTAATTTGAATTAGCTTTTATTTTATTATTTTGTTTTTTTTAGATGTTTTCATTTTATTTGCTTTTTTGTCATTTTTGTAATTTTTTTGTTTTGTTATTTCAGCTTTAGTTTATTTATTTAATTTAAATGTTTAGTAATTTTCGTACTTCAACTTAAACTTATTTTATTTCAATTTGTTGTCAAGGCAGCATTTCTAATTTTGTTCAAGTTTTAACTTATTTTAACTTACTATTAATACAGATGCATCTTTTTCAGATTGCATAGTTTCTTTTTGTTTGGATTATTAAATGAGATACTTAAATTTATTTTTAACTGATTTTTTAACAATATAGGTGCATCATTTTCAGGTTGCGGAGCCTCTTTTTGTTTGTATTATTAAGTTATTTTAGTATTATTTCAAGACTATTATAATATTTATTAATATTTTGAATAAGCTTTTATTTTTATATTTTCAGTTTTGATTTTAATGTTAGTTTAAGTTTCAGTAATTTTGTTATGTGCTTTTTGTTTTTTATCTAATATTTATGTGTATTTTATTTTATTTCAGTTAACGAAAATAATACAAATAGTTTTAGTTAAAGGGGTCATATAATGCTACATGCACTTTTACAAGTTGTTTGAACTGAAATGTGTGTTGGCAGTGTGTGTACACAACCACCCTATAATGATAAAAATCCACCCAGTGTTTTTTTTTTTTTTAATCTACACTGTAAAAATGTTTTTGTAAAATTTACGGTAAAAAAACGACAGCTGTGGTTGCCAGAATTTTACCGTAAAAAATATGGTAGCAACGTTTTACGGTTTTAACTTAAATTTACAGTCAAATACCGTATCCACCGTATATAGTAGGGGAATTTACCGTTAACCATTTAACAGGTTTTTACTGTAGCATTTTTAGTCTTTTATCGTTAAATTCACGGTCATTTTTTACAGTGTTCTAAAAACTTTAATAGCAGTCGTCATTTACTCCCGACATCTGAGCCGCTGAAGACACAGTAGATTATGTTTGTTTCTGAAGGGAATGCGCCCCCGATCTACATAAATGCGTCTATATTCGCGCGAATCATTCGTGATCCAGTTTCACCTACAGAAGAAGTGAGTGAATCTTTGCAAATCGCCTTTGTTTAACCAAACTATGTTACAGACGTTTCATTAAGACCCTAAAGAATCATATCAACTTGTGGAAAATGGGCATCCTGTGACCCCTTTAAAAACAGCACTGATGTGTTCTTCAGAGTAGCACTTTTGGATCTTAATCTGAGTTAGAGTCATTCCTGAATATTTAATGTCCAGTTAAAGAACTTCCAGAACTCTTATGGCATTGTCTTTGTAAGTGTTTGTGAGTGATGCATGTGTTGTTCTCGTGTGAAGAGCTGAAGAATAAGTGGCATCTGGTGGTGGAGCGTCTGACGGTGCTGTTCCTGAAGTTTCTGGAGTGTGTTCAGAAGCTGCAGCTCTTCATCTGGTGGCTGCTGGAGCTTCACATAATCAAGATCGTCTCGTCCTACATCATCTGGCTCTCAGTCAGAGAGGTGAGGAACAATCACAGCTTCATGATCGCTCATGGACCGGCCAGCTAAAGCAGAGCGCTCTGTGTGCTCACCTGACCTACATGGACTACAGGCAGCGTTTTTCAGGCTTTTAAATGCCACAGACCCACAAATAATCATCCTCAAGCAAGTTATTATAGTTAACTAAAACTAAAACCATAAAAAAAACATTTTCATTACTTGAAATATATGAAATGTTATTTGAAATAAAACATCATATAGAAAATCTTTAACTTACTGTATTTCAGCTAGCTTTCAAGGCGCCATTTCTCATTTCCATTTAGTTTAACTTGATGTACTAAATTAACTAAAACTAAAACTGAAATAAAATGAATAAACACTAGACATATATATATATATATATATATATATAAACTACTAAAAATTACAAAACACACAATAAATTTACTAAAACTTTAACTAAAATTAACATGAAAGCAGAAAATGTAAAAATAAAAAATCTAATTCAAAATATTAAAAAAACCTATAATAGTATCTCAATGATAGTAAAATAACGCCACTGAAATTTAAATGGCATCTACTGTATATTGTTTCTTATTTAAAGACCATTTTTTACTGTGAAAAATTATAAATGTGTCTAAAATATTATTTAGAAAATATTTAGCTTCAGTTATTTAGCTTCTGTTTCTTTGTTTTCAGTTGCTTTTTATTTATTTGCTCATTTATTATTTATTATTTGATTTATTTATTATTTATTTTTGTTTGAATCTAATAATGCTTTAATTTTAATCAATTTTATCTTATTTTTTATTTATTTGTTTTTATTTATCAATTTTAGTTTATTTTTTAACACTTTTCTCTCTCTAAACATTTCCAAAAATGTGACCCTGGAGCACAAAACCAGTCATAAGGGTACATTTTTTAAAATTGAGATTTATGCATCATCTGAAAGATGAATAAATAAGCTTTCCGTTGATGTATGGTTTGTTAGGATAGGACAATATTTGGCCGAGATACAACTATTTGAAAATCTGGAATCTGAGGGTGCAAAAAAATCTAAATATTGAGAAAATCGCCTTTAAAGTTGTCCAAATGAAGTTCTTAGCAATGCATATTACTAATCAAAAATTAAGTTTTGATATATTTACGGTAGGAAATTTACAAAATATCTTCATGGAACATGATCTTTACTTAATATCCTAATGATTTTTGGCATAAAAGAAAAATCGATAATTTTGACCCATACAATGTATTGTTGGCTATTGCTACAAATATCCCCCAGCGACTTAAGACTGCTTTTGTGCTGCAGGGTCACAAATGTGAAAACCTAGATGACCACATTGTTCAAGCCGCTAGAGCATCTCAGATCAGCTGGTTTGCATCCTCCTCATCCACATGTCTGTGTCTCTGTCAGGTGTCTCTGTTTAACTACGTGTTCCTGGTGAGCTGGGCCTTCGCTCTGCCCTTCAGTCAGTTCAGACCGCTGGTGTCTAGCGTCTGCACCGTCTGGACCTGCGTCATCGTGGTCTGTAAGATGCTGTACCAGCTGACCTCCATCAACCCGTCCTCGTACTCCAGGAGCTGCAGTATGGTGAGTCCTCACTCGCTCTTCAGCACATGCCTGACACACAGACACTCTGGTTCTGACCGAGTCTGTGCTTCTCTCCTCCAGCCGGAGAACTACACAGACGCTGAGCGCTCAGACATGGCCAGATCTCTGCTCTACAGCGGCCCGGTGGATCCGGCTAACTGGATCGGCTTCAGGAAGTTCTCTCCGCTGCTGGAGAATCTGAGGGTACGAACACATGTGCTCAGCATCTAAACACAGTGATCTGCCAGTGCTGGGTGATCGGAGAAAATATTCTCATTTATTATTAATCAAAATATATTCTATCCCTAGGACAGTGGGATTATTTAGACTTTTGTATGATTATTTTTATGCTAATTCAGTAAAACTACACACAAAAATGTAAATAAGACCATTTTGGTGGCTTGTAATAATTCCACGTGATGCCACCAAAATTATTATAGTTAACTAAAACTAAAATTTGAATTTGAAACTAGAATAAAAACCATTGAAACAACATTTGTTTTTAATTGACATCAAATAAACGTTACTGATATAATATAGTTAGTTTATATATATATATATATATATATATATACAGCTAGTTGCCAAGGCAACATTTCTCATTTTAATTCAGTTTAACTTGATGTACTAAAATAACTAAAACTGAAACTGAAATAAAACATAATAAAAACAATATAGACATGTATTTATGAAAAAGCATATATTTATGTTATAAAATTTATAACATTTTAAAATGAAACATTATTAATAAAATATTAAATTAATAAAAAACTATAATAGTAAATCAGTGATACTACAATAGTGCTGATCCATGCGATCATGAATTTTACATGAGGGTTCATATACAATTATAGGTTTTGTTAATATTTTGAAGCAGCTTTTTTATTTTAATATTACCCATTTTCATTTTAGTTTTAGTTAAAGTTTTTGTAATATGTCTGTATAGTTTTTTATTCATTTTTATTTCAGTTTTAGTTTTACTTATTTTAGTACATCAAGGCAGACTTAATTAAAATGTGAAATGTTGCTTTGCAACTAGCTAAAATAAAAGGTTGTTATATTTTATTTTATTCAGTTAAGGTTTATTTTATTTGTTATTATTATTATTGTGGTTTTAGTTTAAATTTTTACTGTAATAACTATAAAAGCTGCTCGGTTGGAAAATTATTTCTGTGTGAGCTGTGCTTCATAAATTACTAAACTATTGACAACAGATCATTTACTCTTTTTGCCTGCAAAATTTCACTAGAATTTTGCTAAAGTGACTGTACCGTAAGGGTCGGAGTATCGTTCTCTAAATAACATTTAATCAAGATTTTATCCAGCAGCTCCTAATAAAGTTAGCAGCCACTGGCAACATGGGCAAATGTACATTATGCCGATTTATGCTTGCATTTGTCTCTTGTGGTTGTTAATTTCGGACCCTGCATAAACCTCAATATTGTCCTTATCCCTTTATTTGTGTATTTTCCGCACACAGAATAACTTACTGATGCTGGCTCTCTTGGCGTTTGAAGTGACCATTTACCGTCACCAGGATTTCTACCGGATGAAGAACAACCTCACCCCTCCGGTCACGAGAACCGTCTTTCACAACATCACACGCCAGCATCTGGACGACGGCATCGTCAACTGCGCCAAATATTTCATCAACTACTTCTTCTACAAATTTGGTCTTGAGGTAATATCAGCTTTATGTCTGTTAATGAATATATACACTACCATTCAAAAGTATGAGTTTTGTTAATGATGTTTTTTAAGGAAGTCTCTTCTGCTCTCCGTTTATTTGATCAAAAATACAGTAAAAATTATGAAATATTATTGCAAATTCAAACAGCTGTTTTCTCTGTGAATCTCTGTTAAACTGTAATGTATTTCTGTGATGCGCAGCTGTATTTTCAGCATCATTACTCCAGTCTTCAGTGTCACATGATCTTCAGAAATCATTCTAATATGCTGATTTGAAGGAACATGAACGTGTCCTACTTGGCAAAATCACGTTCTCCCTTTTGAGGGGCAGCTTTGGTTTTGTACAGACACTGATTTACTCTCTGTCTGTGAGACGGTCTCTAAAAGATTACAATCTGAAGCTCAGATTGCTAACACACTGTTGAGACAGATAAACCACAATAGAGTGTTAAGGTAATGGATCAGGGTTACGTGATGGATATTGAATTTTAATTTGTGTATAGTGATGCTATCAAATGCACCCATTATTGTCCTAATTTGAAATCCGTGGCTGAATGTTGCTCCTCCAGACCTGTTTTCTGTTAGCGGTGAATGTGATCGGCCAGCGGATGGATTTCTATGCCATGCTGCACGCGTTCGGTCTGATTGTGGTGATGTATCAGCGCAGGAGAAAAGCCATCGCCCACGTCTGGTCCAAGTATTGCTTCTTTCTGGCCTGCATGTTAGCCTTCCAGTACATGATGTGCATCGGCATCCCTCCTGCGGCCTGCACAGGTGAGTTTTGTCTTCTCCAGATGTTAACTGATGGACTGGAGTGGTGTGGATTACTTGTGGATTATTGTGATGTTTTTATCAGCTGTTTGGACTCTCATTCTGACGGCACCCATTCACTGCAGAGCATCCATTGCTGAGACACTGATGCAGTGCTACATTTCTCCAAATCTGATGAAGAAACAAACTCATCCTAATCTCGGATGACCTGAGGATGAGTAGATTTTCAGGTAATTTCACATTTTGGACGAACTGTTCCTTTAAGAAAACAGCAATTCCACTCTTGGTTGTCTTCAAGATAGCCCTTGACTGTTTTTCTGAATTTCACCAATATCTCTCCTTTGGTTCAGACTATCCGTGGAGACGGCCGTCTTCCAGCATGGACTCAAACGTCATCAAGTGGCTTTACTTCCCAGACTTCCACACCAAACCCAACTCCCTCTTCCTCCTCTGTGAGTAATGTTGAATCTGTGTTAACGCTCCCCAGCTCTGCTTTAACGCTCTCTCATCACGTTGCCCGATCTTTTCTCTCTCTCTCTGCAGATGACTTCATGTTGCTGCTGTGCGCGTCGATTCAGGGCCGTGTGTTTGAGGAGGAGAATGTGGCAGCCGTGCAGCTGTTGGCGGGTGATAATGTGGAGATCTGTCGAGACCTGGACGCTGCCAGCTTCAGCCAGCACAACCCTGTGCCCGACTTCATCCACTGCAGGTAAACATCTGACACAAACAGCACTGACTAGAAGAAATTAATTTACATATGCATATTTAGTATTAGTGATGCACCAAAATGAAAATTCTGGGCCAAAACGGAAACGAAAATTCAGGATGCACTTGGCTGAAAACCATAACCAAAATCAAAAATGAACTTTTTTTAACTTAAAGTAGTTTTCTTGTATAACTGTATTAATATTATTGCAACATTTCTTTCCCCAAAATTAATAGAATTAGTATAAATAAATTAATACATGACTGAATTAATTAAATTACTATTTAATTTTTTTGTTATTTTTTTGAAGTTTTCATTTTGCCAAAAACTGAAACCAAACCTGAAACATGTCATTTTATTTAATAATCAGTTAATTAATCAAACAGATTTAATAATCAACACTCAAAGATGTACAAACATTTAAGTTGCTCATAAGGCACTTTTTATGTCAACTTTTTAATAACAGAGTTAGGCTTCTACTCCAATTATTTGTTGAAATATGCACATTTAAATGGTGGCTGAAATAACTTGTTTTTATGATAGATTTATTCAAACATGCATTAATGAACACAACAGGTTAAGTGTAATTATAATGAATATGCTATATAGTGCACATATTTGTCAACGCTTCTCTCTAGAGGTTTTTTTTTTTTTTGGACATTGAATGTCTTTTCTGAGGTAAATGTGATGTTATGTGACATGCAGTTGAAACACTGATTGATCAGTTACATGAGACTGTATTTTTTAACACTGTGTGATGTTCATTCATGTTTATTTTGGTGCTATAACTAGTAGTAAAGAGGAAGAGATGATCAGTTCATGTGAGGCTACAGCGATCTGTCACCTCACATTTAAACCACATTTATTGTTTGAATTTGGTGATAAAATTGGCAGAATTTGGAAACTGAGACTTTGTTTCATATTAAAAGTAACAAAGCATAAAGCTTATTGCGATTATTAGAGGGCAGGTGCGCTACAAATAAAGTTTAGTGATGTTCACGCATCAACAGAAAACAGCACAGACTAAAAGACTGATCTTGAAAAGAATTCATATCAGTGTCGATAGAAAACGATAAATCAGTGTTGTTAATCCAGCACGAGTGTCCACACAGCTGACATGTTTGGCTGTAGTTTTTCCACATTGTGTCATGAAATAAACACTTACACAGTCACTGTTTCTGTCAATGATTTCAGCTCTCTAAAACTATTTTTCCAGTTGCCAAAATTTCAGCGCATCACCCTTTAGCATATTTATATTTCATTTTTATATCGACCCATTCATGTCACTCTGTTCATTTGAAATACTTCTTTTGAAGGTCCATTTTAAAACAGAAATAGCATGAATGATCTGTATTCCTGTTGTTTTCCCCTCAGCATCACATAGACCAGTGGTTATTTCAACACTCACAGTTTCTGTTAATAAAAAAAGTTTGAAACCAAGCAGCAGAATTACATAATTATCATAAACACCGGAGAAAACATCTTAGCCTATATGGTGGTGTTTTCAAATGTTGTGTTGGACAGTGAAGGGGCTTCAAATCAGAAAGGTTGAGAACCGCTGATACAGACTAACAGTTCAAAGAAAAACGCTGTTATACTCTGATTGCTCTCTCTGTCTGACCCAGAAAACACTTCAGTCGTAATTACATTGCTAAGGTTTCAAGCCTGCAATCTTAGTTTGTGGTCTCGGGATCAGCTGAGCTTCCTCTGCTTATTACGCTAGAGAAAAACGAGACGATGAATAGTGTTTCTAGATCAGGGTCATTTATCTTTGAGCATGTCATTCATCAGCTGTAGAAAAACTATAGTGATTCTCCAGCTTCAGCCAGTCCAAACAATTAGAAATGATGATGGTGATGAAGGAATTTGGAGATTTTAATGACGCCTGTCTGCTGCTCTGATCATATATTAGAGTTGTGCGGTCAGTTTTTCCACTTCTTTGTCATTATACTTATTACTAAAGTTGCAGATTCCAGTAAATCTAAATAACCTGCTAATGTGTTACGGGTTAATTCTGAGGAAACGGTGCCTTTTGATGCAGAAAGGTTTGGGGTTGAACGTCATTAGCCAAAATGGCTCATAACGGCCTTTCCTATATCATCATATCACTGCATTATTTACGGTCAGTGTTCTTGAACTTTATGACAAAGACTGAATATTTTCCTCTCATAAGAGTCTGACTAGATCAAAATGATAGTGAATATATGTGAATACTAATAGTGATACATATACTACCATTCAAAGGTTTGGGATCAATACGATTTTTAATGTGTTTGAAAGTCTTTTCTGCTCATTTATTTGATTAAAAATACAGTAAAAACTGTAACATTTAGAAATATTATTACAATTTCAAACAGCTGTTTTCTATGTGAGTCTCTGTTAAACTGTAATGTATTTCTGTGATGCGCAGCTGTATTTTCAGCATCATTACTCCAGTCTTCAGTGTCACGTGATCTTCAGAAATCATTCTAATATGCTGATTTGCTGCTCAACAAACATTTCTGATTATTATCAATGTTGAACACAGTTGTGCTGCACAATATTTTTGTGGAAACTGTGATACATTTTATTTTTCAGGATTCACAGATGAATAGAAAGTTCAAAAGAACAGCGTTTAATTGAAATAGAAATCTACTGCAACATTATGAATGCCTTTACTGTCACTTTTGATCAGTTTTATGCACGCTTGATGAACAAAAGTATAGATTTCTTTAAAAAAAAAAACTTTTCACCGACTCCAATCTTCATTTTCAGGTCGTATTTGGACATGCTGAAGGTGATCATGTTCAGCTATCTGTTCTGGTTCGTCCTGACCATCATCTTCATCACGGGCACCACGCGCATCAGCATCTTCTGCATGGGATACTTGGTCGCCTGCTTCTACTTCTTGATCTTTGGGGGTGAGCTGTTACTGAAGCCAATCAAAAGCATCCTTCATTACTGGGACTTCCTCATAGCATACAACGTCTTCGTAATCACCATGAAAAACATTCTCTCAGTAAGTACCTCATAAATCCCTTCACTCATAATTCAATTATAACTCAGTCATAGTTCACTTCATTCAAAGCTGTTGTAAATTAGCTTGAACTTTGTCTCTGACATAAAACATAATTCTGTTAATAGAACATTTTTCTGCATTTTTGTGGGTCTGAATTCAGAGGGTGTGAAAGACGTGAAGCGTTTGTGGGATTCGACTAATAATTACACACAGCACATGCACACCTGTGAAAATATCTCAATTGTATGCTCTTTTAAAGAGGTTCATGTAGCATGTGAGATAGCAAAGAGATGGTTTTGGTTGTTGTGGATGTGATTGTGGCTTCTGTTCTCTCGGCTCTCAGATTGCGGCGTGTGGATATATTAAAGCGCTGGTGGCCAATCACTGCTGGCTGATCCAGTTATTCAGTCTGGCTTGCACTATAAAAGGATATTCAAAACGTAAGTTATGCCTTTATTTTCTTTTTCATGTTGAGATCTATTAGATGTGTTTGATTAACTATTATCTAAGCTAAAATTAACCTTAATTGTCTGTATTCTCCTGTAAAATAGGTTCTGATAGTATTATATAAAACAATCAAAATCATACCGTGTAACTTTAAATAATAATTATATTAAAAACAATTTGAATGTAATCATCTTATAATATACAATTAATTGTGGTAATAAAACATACAAACTGTTTTAAAGGAATAGTTCGTCCAAAAATGATAATTTGCTGAGAATCTACTCATCCTCATGTCATCCGAGATTAGGATGAGTTTGTTTCTTCATCAGATTTGGAGAAATGCAGCATTGCATCAGTGTCTCAGCAATGGATGCTCTGCAGTGAATGGGTGCCGTCAGAATGAGAGTCCAAACAGCTGATAAAAGCATCACAATAATCCACAAGTAATCCACAGCACTCCAGTCCATCAGTTAACATCTGGAGAAGACAAAAGCTGAAACACATCCAGCATTAAGATGTTTTTAACTAAAATACATTGAGTCTATTATCCATAATAACGCTTCCTCCAGTGAAAAAGTGCATCTTCTGTTGTCTCTCACATCAAAATCCAGCCACATATGTGTTTAGAGCTGTTTAAACGCTGCTTGATCTGTGCAGATTTCTCTCCTGATTCAAACCAGAAAACTTTTTCACTGGAGGAAGCGTTATTATGGATAATAGACTCAATGTATTTTAGTTAAAAACATCTTAATGCTGGATGTGTTTCAGCTTTTGTCTTCTCCAGATGTTAACTGATGGACTGGAGTGCTGTGGATTACTTGTGGATTATTGTGATGTTTTTATCAGACTCTCATTCTGACGGCACCCATTCACTGCAGAGCATCCATTGCTGAGACACTGATGCAATGCTACATTTCTCCAAACCTGATGAAGAAACAAACTCAAAATCTCTGATGGCCTGATTTTTTGGGTGAACTGTTCACTTAGACTCGATGAATAAAGTATATTTAGTTTTTTTTGTATGTTCAGATTGCATATCTACAGAAAAGTTTTGCACCGCTCAGATTGAGAAAACCATTTTTATAAAAAGCCACTAATAGAATGGGTAAAAAATGACTGAAAAGCTTTATGAGCATTAATAGTTAACTAATTTTAATGAGCAATACTGTAATATTCTAGTGTCCAGCAGAGCTTGATTAGATTCTGATGATTCTCACGCAGCGGAGCAGAACGCAAATAAACAGTGCGAGCTGCCGAGTGACGAGGCCGGGATCATCTGGGACAGCATCTGCTTCGCCTTTCTCCTGCTGCAGAGGCGAGTTTTCATGAGCTACTACTTCCTACACGTCGTAGCCGACATCCGTTCCTCTCAGGTCCTCGCCTCCAGGTACACACACATGCTCTGGGTTACTGCTGTCTGCTTTACATTCACTTTTAATGTTTGCCTGCATGTAATGATCTAACCAGCGTCGTTTTAGTACCTTTGATTTACTATTATAGTTTTTCATTTAATTTATGTTTTAGTAATTTTGTTGTGTTTTTATCTTTTTTTAGTTTTTTTGTCTGTATATATTTTTTATAAATTTTTATTTAATTAATTTTTTTGTTATTTTAGTACTAAAAGTTAAACAATATTACAATGAGAAATGTTGTAACTGAAATAAAACATTTTTAATATTTTTTTCAGTTAATGTTTATTTTATTTCAAGTATTTTATATTTTTTTTAATTTATTCGGTTTTAATTTTAGTCACAGTTTTAGTTTTAGTTATCTATAATAACCCTGCATCTAATATTATGTTATTGGTTATTTTTAACTTAATTTCTAAGAAATATCTTCTCAATTGTCACAGAATAAAAGACACCATGACAGCTTTCTGAATCAAACGAAATGATAAATAAATATGTAGATAAAAAAGCACTACAAAGAGTACATTTGACTGCTTCATTTGAAGCTGTTTCATATTTCAAACTGTAAATATGTAAATATACGTATTCAGACTGTGTTTCGTGTCTCTGTTCCTCTTTGTTTGTCTGTCAGAGGAGCGGAGTTGTTTCAGGCGACCATTGTGAAGGTGGTTAAAGCCAGAATAGAAGAAGAGAAGAAGTCCATGGATCTGCTGAAGAGACAGTGAGTTCAGTGTGAGACTCACAATGCTTCATTGTTCACTGCCAACTGCTGCATTCCCTTTTCACGCAGTCCTATGAAATCATGCACTGACTGATGCATGAACACACACAAATGAGACAAATAGCTATCTGTCTCCGTCACAGTGTTTCCTATCATTTATCCAGCGTGTTTAGCACCTGAGAGCCGCTGCTTAACCAGTGTTTTCCAGAAGAGCGGTAGAGTTGTAACCGTCACATCTGCAGGATATCTCAGGCTTGCCAAAGTCGAGGCTGTTTTCTGTGCTTCCTGCAAACCCACACAAGCCCCGACATGAAGACTCTTTATCCTCAATTAGACTCTGATTGTGTTCAAGGGAACAGCTAAATTAGGTCAGCTCAAGCAAAAAAGCAAAGCATTTCCCTCTGTCTGTTTCTCTCAGGATGGACCGCATCAAAAGCCGACAGCAGAAGTTTAAGAGAGGTAAAGAGAGGATGCTGTCTCTGGCTCAGGAAAGTGGGGAACGCCACTCAGTCGTCAAAGAGGAAGGGGACGATGATGAAGGTATATTTACATAAGAGCATTTAGAACTTAAAAATAGCATGTTTTCCCATCTCAGGCCCAAAGTACCAGTGATATTTTTTTCTTTTTTTGAAAGAAATTAATACTTTTATTCAGCAAGGATGCATTAAATTGATGAAAAGTGACAGTAAATACATTTATAAAGTTATAAAAGATTTGTGTTTTGAATAAATGCTGTTCTTTTGCACTTTCTGTTCATCTGTGAATCCTGAAAAATAAAATGCATCACGGTTTCCACAAAAATATTGTGCAGCACGACTGTGTTCAACATTGATAATAATCAGAAATGTTTGTTGAGCAGCAAATCAGCATATTAGAATGATTTCTGAAGATCATGTGACACTGAAGACTGGAGTAATGATGCTGAAAATACAGCTGCGCATCACAGAAATACATTACATTTTAACAGATATTCACATAGAAAACAGCTGTTTTACATTCTAATAATATTTCACTGTTTTTAACTGTATTTTTGATCAAATAAATGCAGCCTCGGCAAAGAGAAAAGTCTTCTTTCAAAAACATTCACAAATCTTGCTGACCCATAACTTTTGAAATTTTTCATTACACTGTAAACTGAATACTTTTCATTACACTATAAACACAATCAAATCTATTGAATAATAGATTTATAATAAAAAAATATATATAATTCAGTGTCCAGTTAATTATAATATTAGTAAGTCAAGGGGACACAAACGGCACAGCTTCCTGAGAATAATCCAAACATTAATAACTTAATTCACATAAATTAAAACTAAAAATGCAGTGTTGTCCTACACACATTTGACT